AGAACAGTATTGGGCCAAGTTATCCAACCCTATGCCTGGCTGCACAGGAATGTTTCCTGACCAGCAGCTACACATACACCTCTTCAAGGGAAGCTGGCAATCTGCCCTCCCTCAACATGAACAATTTCAGTCAGCAATTAACTCAATACTTCCCCATTGGCCTCCAGAAGTTAGCAAAGACCTGCATAGGTTGTTGACTAATCAAGCTGCCTAGACCCAAAACAAGCTGTTAATCAAAACTTTACAGAGGTTGTCATGTAGGCATTTGCTTCCCACACAGCCATAGCATAAGGCCTTAATTTTTTTTTTTATTATAGTCAGTTGACTAGATCCTGCAAGGCAGTACCAGCACTCTGTCTTCCCTCCCACTTCTATTTGTTGCAAGCCACATACAGAACAATGTGACCTGTTGGGCTAAAGCCTAGGGAGAGGATGCCTGAAAACCACCTGACTGACAGCCGAAGACACAGTATTAAAGAACACTGTCAAATCACTGACAGCAGATGGACTATTGGGGAAGAGGTTCCCCCATCCAGAGCCCTCCTAAATTCTCAGGTTAAGTTAATTTCTGGGGGCAGGCCATCACCGCAATGGACTGGTGACCCCTCAAGTTGAACAGAAAAATAGCATCTGGCAAAGTCTGTTGTTGTCTTCAAAAGCTCATGCCCAGGGGTGTATCCGGGGGGGTGCAGCCCCTTCTACCACTGCCACTGCTGTCCCTGGCTGACCTGGGTGCAGGGGGAGTCCCAGATCTGCTCCTGTCCTGCATTAGCCATGGTTCAGCAGAGGGTCAGGCTTGGTAGAGGATAGCAGTGGCAGCAGCAGTGGGTGGGTTTCCTCTTTCTGAGTCTGCTCCCTGCTCCCCCTCTTCCCCCACCACCCCATGTCACACGCTGGCTGGTTGCAGGCACTGGAGGAGGAATCTGCCCCTCACTGCTGCTGCTGCTGTCACCGGCTGATGCAGGCATGGTGGGGATCCCCAGAGCCGCTTCTTCCCCATCCTAACCAGAGGCTGCAGAGAGCAGCTGTGCAGGCAGCCAGTTCAGCAGGGGACAATAGGAGCAGCACACAGGTTCCTTCCTCTAGCACCTACTCCTTGCCAATGGGGGACACCTCAAGGTGGGAGGGAGGGGCCATGAGCAGGAAGAAGAAACTGCATACCACCACCATTGGCCCCATCCAAGTCCAGCACCCCCTGCAGCTGCTCCTTATAGCCCATGGCTGGAGCAGGGCAGCAGTGGCTTTGGGGCTCCCCCCACCCCACAAGTCAGCCAGGGACAGTAGTGGTGGTAGCAGCAGATGGGTCCCCCTGCCTCTCCTGTGCTCCCAATGTCCCCTGCCAGCCACACACCACCTCCATCCCACCCCCACCCCCCAGTCTGGGGAGTGATGTCACTCTTTTCCTTTAGTAAATCCTGAATCTGCCCATGCTCATACTTCTATGAACCAGTTAGTCTCTTAGGTGCCGGCTACCCTGCCCTATGTTCTGCCTGACTTCAGACTAACGCAGCTAACCACTTCTGCGATCCAAAGAAGGTAATCATTGGTCCATGAGTATAATTTCCAAATTTCCTATCTCCAACTAACACAATTCCCATCTTAGTAGAGTATCAAATAAAAAATATGATATTGAAGGAGCATAGCACAGAATCCCAGAAATTAGTCAAGTCCCTGTTGGTTCATGGTTATTCCCTGCAGTGTGTGTGGGAGCAATACTTTCTATTAAAAGAGCTCATATATAAATGCTGTGGATCTAAAGTGATTATAAAGTAGCTTGGCTTCACAAATCTGAAAGTTATGCAGGGTTCCCTTAGTCCTGTTATGTAGTCTGTTACTCAGTAGCTCCACCCCTTGCTCTCAAGTCATGTAATAGCATCAAGACTAATGTTAGTCATTATCTTCAGACAGCTGATCGGTATTACAAAATGAAAATGTCAGTGTTTGCAAAAAAATAAACATCCCCAGTATGTTAGAGACTGAAAAATGGGAATCACACTCAATTTTTATCTTTCACTTCCACCACAGACTCCTTGTATAGATGAACCAATATGTTTTTCCCCTTCGACTGAGTTGGGAGACAAACTCCCCTTTGCATGTCCCCAGAGAGAAAATGCCATATCCCTGAGCAGTGTTGTCACACATACTGGGGGAAATTTGTGGAAAAGTACTAACGAAATTCTCACTCCCTAAACATCTGGCATATTAACAGTAGGATTGTGGGCTCTCTATGTAGTATACTACAGGAGATGATGCTCCCCTTGTGTATCTTAGACAAAGTCTTATCAGCGACATCCACAGATAGAACTGTGAATAGCAAAACCTGTCCAGCCACAGATGGGAAGACCAGTGGAAGGATGAGGCATCTCCAAAACCCCTGGGCATCGAGTGTTTTCATAAGATGTTGTGCTTTATGGATTTTGGAAATTCTTTTCTGCCTAAGCTCTCATGGGCAGTGACCATGTTGTTGTTCTCAGTACAGTGGAGTCCTAGTCCATGCTTAGGGCTCCTAAGCATTACTTCCATACAAATAATAGTATTTTTCCATTTCCTTTTCTTATTCTCCATCACAGCCCCCCTTCTCTGATAACCTCACTCTACCTGTTTGTTCTCTATGTTCTTCCATCCTCTGTCCTTTCTCTTGCCTCTGATTTCCTCCTGCCCCTCAGTGTGTATATTATAGACTTGTAGATTTCTATACCAGTTGTGATCATCTAGTCAAACCTCCTTTATAGCAAGCTCCAAGATTGCATCTGTAGGAAACCCAATTTGTAAGTGAATTAAAGTGCATCTTTTAGAAACACCTTCCAGTTTGTAAAATTACAAGTGACAGAGATCCTTCTGTACAGTTCTGCCACCACATGGTAGGTTTTTCCAGTTAATTTCCCTTTCTGTTAAAAAATGTGACTTTTATTTCCCATTTGAATTTCTCAAGCTTCAGCTCTGGCTGATTAATTCTCTTTCTTCTTTCCTTCCTTGTATTTTTTTTTTAAATTGAACCTGACAGGGCATTGCCACACATGTGTGTGTTGTGGAATCTTGAATGAGAACTCTGCATAAATAGGATGGATGGATTAGAGAATATTTTTCTAAAGCTTTTTATGTACAAATTAACTTTGCCATAGTCCTGAGGTCTGTGACACTGTCCCCACCCCCCCACCTTCGCTTACACACCCACACCCTGTCCCCACAACCCCCAACATGCCCTGTGCCCCCACACACACAGCCACACCCCCTTCCAAACTCCCCCACACACACCCACACCCCACCATAAATATCCACACACACCCCACCACATCCACCCCACAATCTACAAAACTAAGAATCTATTTTTGAGTTATTATGCAGTCACCTCTATATATACAATGCAAACACACATTATGACAAAAATATTTTTTGTAATAAAGTTGAAATATGTTATAATAGGTGTTTGACTTTTAGCATATGATTTGGTTTTTTTATGGTTCTAAGATGGCAACCCCCCCTCTCAAAAGGAGTATTTCCAGGAGGGCAAGGGAGGGCCTTTCAGTAGCAAAGGTCAGGGGTTAGGGGTGGGACTTCCAGTCTCAAGATGAGGACATGGGTGTGGGGCAACTGTAAAGGGGTGGGACTACCCATGCAGCACTTGACAGCTCACCAAAACTTGTTAAGTGACCCTCCACCCGAAATAATTGCCCATCCCTGCCTTAACACCAGAAGGTATTATGATCAGCCTCTGACCATTTTTGTGCCAACCCAATCCCCACCACTCTTGATGTCTGCGAACTTTTTTGGCCAGTGCATGGGCCATGTTTTAGTGTGGTGCAATGATTGGTGGGCCATTGGACACTGTGAAGTTTGCACTAGAACTCTGGCTCATTTGGCATACAAATTTCTGCTGCTTGGAGAGGGTAAACAGCTTGTGATCTGAAAGTTATTTTAATCCATATCACTTAGATCTGAAGATGGTATTTTAACCAGTGGTGTACCATGGGTCTTTGGCACCCAGGGGCCAATGCTTGCATTTGCCCCCCTTTCTCCACCCCCATCCACGGCCAATCACTAAGTGTGGGGTGGGGGAGCTCCCAGCAGCTGATTGCTGGAGGTGGGGTGTCCCCCAGCAGCCAATAGCCAAACCCGAAAATGCTGGCGGTGAAACCAGAAGTGCCCAGTCGAGGACCCAACTGGCATGGCCCCCCTGCACCCCACCCTGTCAGTACGCCACTGTATTTAACAATGAACATTTATTCTTCAGAAAGTTGTCAGTGTGGTAGAAGGAAGAGATTTATCAGATATGTTGTTAAGTGGCACCCTGTTACCGAGTCTTACTTACAGTATATCTACCATTGGTTACATTCTACAGCAGCTTAAATCACCACTTCAGAAGAGGTTCTTGGAGTATTCATCAGATTTGAGGGCTGGTATTTGATGCTATATCAGTCTATTTTCTGTGTGGTGACAGTCTGCCTTTCTTGACTTTGCTATATGACTAGAGAAAAAATTTGAAAAAGACATCACTCACACCTTATTGTTATATTTATTAATTGATTTATTGTTCATGACAGTGGAAGACTAACAGTATGAACCAGAGTCTGGCATGGTGTAGACAGACACTATGCAATCTCCCCACACCTGTCCCAGTGCACTTAAATCCTAACTTGCAGTTTCCAGTGCCAGTTCCTGCTTGTGCAGGTCTACAAGTACAGCTCAACCCTGATCTGTAGTGCCCCATACTGTTTTTGGGCTGCATCCTCACACCACACATCACTAATAGTGCTCCTCAGTCCCTATCTAAAACATCCTTCAGTTCCAGTCACAGATCCCTGGGGCAGACCTAGACCTATATCAACTAGCGTGATGTCTCAGCACATGCTCTTGAGTTAAATAAAGCAGTTGTGGACTCTTAAGAAAGAAAAGACATCCAGTATATTTTACTATGAGGATATGTTTGATTTTTTTACCTTATACTGGTACCTAAAAATATTTTCCTAGGCACTAATCTGTTTGTTTTGATTTTCCTGCAGCCCAGATGATTTACTGAATGCACTGAATGAGGGTATCAGCCGTGCTGATGTCATCATCACATCAGGGGGCGTGTCCATGGGGGAAAAGGTATGTAAGAGCGTAAATGGACCAGAAGAATTTTTATGGCTCATGAGATATAGGAAGGAAAGAACTGAGAATGATTTTTTGATCCTTGGTTGAATTCATAGGCTTGGCATTTAAAATAAACATCTCTCTATTTATAGCTTAGTAGGTTTTAACCATAGTCACTGAGAGATGACAAACACAAAGCCCCATGGTGTCATTACTGAGTATAACCACATTGTTAAGGTCCGGTGTTTCACAAAAAGGAGAAAAGTACGAATATTTTCTTGTATTAGAACCAGTGATGTTCAAGTCCTTTAAGCTTCTGCAGGTCTTGGAGCAGTGATTAAGAAGGACAGTGCTCATTTTTGTATTGCAAAGGAGGAGTGTAGTGATGGAAACACATAGACACTAGGAATGGGCTGAGCCCACCACTTTTTTTTTTACAAAAGCTATCAACTATCCCTTGGATGCAAATAACTTTGTTCAGTCCTTATCTATACTGCAGCTTCCTAACTGTGAAAGGCTCCATATTTCACTACCAATTCCTTGAGGCATCCCATTGTCTCACACTGGACTTTTGGTGGTGGAAATGAAATACCTGTGAGCATGCAAAAAATGGCAAATTAAAATGAAGACTGAATGAAGCCATCAATCAAGAAGTTGCCTCATGACAGGAAAAAATTGTAGCTTTCCAAATACCTGAACATAATAGACTGACGAGAAAATGAGAAAACTGATGGGAACTTCAGGGGCTATTGTTTCTACAGAGGCTTGTCATTGATGGTTTCAGTATTCAGTGTTCCCATGTGGACTTTTCTGATAATAGTATAAGTTCTTCTAAGATGAACATTAGAAGTTAACCAAGTCCCAGAGCAGCAGCATCTTGAACCCAACCATTTTCAGCAGAGAGTGCACAAAGAATTTTGGATTTCTTGAACTAATGGATTGATCCAAAGTATGTAATTTAAACATGCACAGGAAGTGAGGAGTATTTTCCTTTTGCAGAAAATTTAGACAACTATGATCTATGGGTGTGAATTATACAGTGTTCTCAAGAAATCACAAGACTTGATGTAATATTGAGAGATTGAGTTCTTTGTGCAATCTTGTTCTCAAAGAGACTGACTAGCTATTGAACTCCATCAGTAGCTAACTTGTAGTCTCAAAAGAAATTGCACTTGATGGTTCTGAGCCTTAGCTTTGACTCATATGTTAATCATTGGACTGTACATGCTAGATTTCACAATGTGTCATTAACATTTTCTCTGAGTCTTGCAGACATCTCCAAGATTCTTATCATGCAACTGACTTTGTATGGATAAATCACAATGCCTATATTGAATCAACTGCAGGTTCAGAGCCTAAAATTGCTTTATTCCACCTTTTTCCAGTCATCCTTCTAAAATTATCCCTTCCAGTACAGGAAATACCCCACAAGCTATAGTACATCTTAAATTTGTCAGGACCTCAAACTATACTTGACTTTGATAGTTCTGAATACTTTGATGTAACTGTAACATACTTGGATGTTATTCTACCAATTTTTCTTTTTTAATTTAAACAGGACTATCTTAAACAGGTGCTGGATATTGACCTTCACGCACAGATTCACTTTGGAAGAGTTTTTATGAAACCAGGGTAAGAAATATTTATAATTTTGTGATCCTATGAAGTCTGTCTTGGGCCAACATACTACTAAGTGTTTTTACCCTGTTTACCTACAGACATAGTTCTAAAACACACACAAACCATTGGGTAGTTGAATAAGGGAAAACAAATGGCATCAGGCTTTTGTTCCTTGCTGTTGCTATTAAAATTAATCAGACATTAAAGGTTTTTTGTTTACCAGTAATATTTCTATATTCATGGAAGAAAATTCAGCACATTTATATACAGTATTGCATATGTTCCTAAAGCTCAGGTTATAGCATTGCTATGAAAAACCTAGGAAGTGGAAAGGCTTATAAGTGATTAACATTCTCATTAAGCATCTGACCTCACTACAGAGTTAATACAACTGGTATTACTAGAAAAAGGAGCTTTTAAACTACAGGAGGGTGGAGCAGGAATTAGCTTACAAAGCTCTTTCTTCTGAGGACATTGCATATAGAAATTCTGAACAAAAACAGACATTTTATGCACTTGTTTTGCATACGACACAAAGAGAGCATGGCTTCTGCCTCCCCACTTTTTCACTGTTTTGCTGATATCTGTTTCTGGTGAAGGCTGTAACAACTCTGGGGCATCTGAAAACAGATTGTTCTTGGAGAAAGTCTGGGATCATGGAGTCTTTCCTTAAGGTTGTATTTGACTAACTATTTCATGTGGTTTATTTACAAGTTAGGTACCATATTTCCCCAAATCCAAGATTACTTCAAATTTAAGATGACCCTCCCCTGCACAATTAGAGTCTATACATGGAACATTATAAATTTCTTATAATGTTCCATATATTGAATCTAATTATTGGAGGCTCATCTTAATTCACCCCTACTCCCCCACTGCTGCAGCAGGGAAAGCAACAGCAGGGAGCAAGCAGTGAAGAGGCAAAGGGCAGGGAGCCAGGCAGGCAGCCTGAGCCTGGACCTTTGCCCTGCTTTACCTTGCCCCCATGCCAATTCTTCCCCATCCCCATTCCGTGCTGGCCTCTACCCCTACCCCTAGCTCTCTTTGCCTTCTCCCCTAGTGTCTGCCCCCTCCGCACCACACAGACACAACCCCCTTCTTGCCTGCCCCCAGCCACTTGCCCCCCCACACCACCTGTTCCTCCCACTGCTGCATGCTTCTCTCCCTAGTGGCTCTACACAGGGTCCCTAGTTGCTCCCTGGCTCAGCAGGGAGCCAAGGAACAGTGTAGGTTCCAGCACAGAGCCAGAGAGTGGCAGGGAAATCAGTGTGGAGCCAAAGAGCAGTGAGACAATGCTGATTCCCTCATTGCTCTCTGGCTGTGTGCTAGGTCTTGAACTGTTTTCCAGCTTTGGGCTGATTCCCCTGCCTCTCCCTCTCAGCAGTGAGCCAGAGAACGGCAAGGGAATCAGCCCTGAGCCAGAGAACAGGACAGAACCCAGCGCTGCCTGCAGGACTTGAGTCTAAGACTAAACTTTATTTTCCCCATGATGAATGGGAGAAGAAAACCTCAACTTGGAATCGAGTAAATACAGTAATTCAGGACTCTAAGCTTTAGTTGTGGCTTATCTGGAAGCTCACTGTCACTAGCAAAACACATGGGCATCTTTGCCTGCTGAGAGCTTCAACTGCTTGCACACTCTCATTGGCACACATGTATGTGACCACATGCTTTTCCTTAAGCACCATTAATTCCGTCTGAAAAGCACCTGAATTACTGTTATTCTGTGCTGACCTAGAGTTGGCAAAGTCCCATGAGCAAAACTGGCAAAGCTAAATAGTGCTAGAAGTTGGGTTATATCACTATATTTTGCTGTACCAGCATAGCTCAGAATGACTCCTGGGGTAAGATATTCTTCTACTTGGCTTAGGAGGCTGCTACACTGACATGGAATTGTGTACACCCTTCAGAAACAGTACCAGAGACACCCTTAGCCACAGTATTGTTAAAAGAATAACACTTGTCTTGTGATTAGAAGTTTTCCAGTGCCATTTACAGCTGTTGCGTTTGTTATGTGTTTTGAAGGAAGGATATGGAAGAATAGGTAGCTTGGAACAGAAGCACCCCCCATTGGGTTAGATAGATTGGAAAATAAATTCTCTCTTTTCTTGATGAGCTGCATATATATATATAAACTAAGCAGTAATAATTCCCAGTCGTTAGTCCTATGAAAATGCCCTCCACAAATGTTTTATAAGATGGAAATGAATAAAGATGGATGTATGGAGTAGATTGCAAGTAGTACACAGAGGACATCCCTAGAGCAGCATGCATCTTGTGTTAGCCACTCAGAATGCTTGAGTCATTTCCCAGCCAATTCCCATTATCTGTGATTAACTAATATCCCTTTAACAGGACAGTGGAAAATAAATCTAAAAAAGAGGTGAGGTCTTTAGTTATAAATCTAGATCACAGCTGACTACAGCCCTGTCTGTCTATATTCATTTGCAGAAGACCTAGCATTGACCATTAACTATTCTAAAGTCCCCACTGCTGTAGGCACTGGAATAACATATAGAGTAACTGATGTGTTATAGAAAACTTTGGAAATAATTCCAGCTCTAGCCTGTATCATTTCAGTGCTTTCTCTGCCATTCTTCCTCAGACTATTTTCAGGGAGACAGAATCTGGATTTCTGTTGATGAGAAATTCATGTGCTCTTGCTGGTGTTTCCTTGCTGAAAGCAGGAGTCTCTCTTGTGATTTCATAGCTGGATGATACTGAGAAATTAATCTGTAACCACACACAGAGTATTTTGGCTCCAGGTTGGAATAAGCAGCGGGTGCTAATGAGCTGCTAAATGAGAGCAAGAGATCCTGTCTTTTAGCAAATGTTCTTATTAATAAAGAACAGATATGAAAAGCAGGGACTATGTGCTGTAGCTGCAGGATGGGTTCTGTGTAAACTGAAGGCTTTGGGTAGGCTCTTATACCTTGAAGTGCCCAGTAGTCTAGTGGTTAGAGCATTCAACCAGGAGAAGTCTCCCAAGTGGGAGACCTGAGTTCTAGGCCTTTCTCACCCTGAGGACATTTGAACTCATCTCTCCTGCTTCCAAAGCAAGTGACCAGGTTATAGAATAGGCTGGTTATGGTACCATCCACTCCTCGTGTTGAAACTAAGCTACTGTCCCCCTATACCAAAAAGTGTGCTGCGCCCCCCCCATACAGCAATGTAAGGCACCCTATTCTTGAAAGTGAGTTAGGCATTCTGTATTGCAAGTGAACAGGTGGTTAATGTGCAGCTTCAGTTAAGCATTTAAGACTCTGAGAGCAGTGGAAGTTCAGACTCACCTTGTTCTTTTAGCCTTTCCTATTGGCTGCCTCTAGGCATCTCCAGGCTTTTGGAGGTTACCTGCTTCTCCCTGTTCTCTGTATATACATCTATGTGCTTAAACCTGAATTGTTCTTCAGAAGCATAGGCAGTGGAAGCGGGGGTTAATGGGGCTTAGTCCCCCCAAATGTGAGGCAGTGATAGGGCCACAAGACAGCCCGGCCAAGGGCTTCCAGCGCAGCAGGAGTGGGGAGGGAGTGGGGCTAAGGCTAAGGGAGGGGCAGGCGCCCTACAGCTAGTGAGGTGCAGGACTGAGCCGCAAGCAGCTCGTCTGGGGGCATGGCTCCTGCTGCCACCAGCACCCTGGGAGGCACAGGGGGCATGTGCCCCCAGATCTGCATGGGTCAGGGCAAGGCAGGCTGGGGCTGGGGCTGGGGCTGGGGCCAGGTCTGCACTGGTCTGTTCCCAGCAGGGGAAGGGGAAGGCAGGCTGGGAAGAGCCAAGTGCAGCTTCTGTCCCAGCCTGCAGCAGCACCCTGCCCTGCCCTGCCAGATCCAGGGGCACTTGTCCCCCATGCACTCCTGGGCCACTCCCTCCCCACACCCCCCAGAGAACAATGACAACTTGGGGCAGGGTGGGCAAAGGGGTCTCAGGGTCTTTGTCCCCTCTGGCCCAGCAGTTCAGCCAAGGCTAACCCTGCTCTGGCCCCCAGTTCTGGGGCCCCGAGGCAGTGCAGGGCCAGGGCTGGTGCAACGCTGGGGTGCAGTGGTTTCATTGGTGCAGGAGGCACCAGTGCCAGGCAATGATCCCAGGAGTGGGGGAAGGGGAAGCCACGCAAGCGCAGTGGGCCCTGGACCCAATCCTGGGCCCATTTCCACTCTTCTCCCTTCCAATCCTTGCCCAGTCCCAGGCCAACTCCCTCCCCCCACTCCCATGCTCCTTTCCCTCCCCTCCCCCTGAAGACTTTCGTGCCAGTGGGGGTTCCCACTCAGCCCTCGCCCAAAAAATTTTTTTCCCTCTGCCTATGTTCAGAAATGCTAGTGTCTTCCTTTGGACTGCACCCTGGTCAGCTAAAATGCCCTCCTGGGCAAGTTATCTAAGTTATAGCTGTTCCAGTGCCCAAGCTGCAGGAGACTACAGAACCAATTTCATTCTGGCCCTTGGTTACTAAGGGAGAGGGATCAGCAGTTGAAATAGTTGCTGAGATAGAGCTAGGGTATTGAGAACTTAAAGATTAATGTAATCATGGCAAGTTTTTCAACACAGTTTGATTAGATTGATTATACTCAGTGCTGTAAGGCAGTGATTCTCAAGTATGGTGCCACAACACCCTGAGGTGCCATGAGTTCAGTTTGAAGGTGCCATAGAGTGCCATTAGCAAAATTAGCACAACTGGGTGCACAAACGCCTACACATGATTCACATTATAAACCCAGAAATTTCAAACAGGGATCCTAGTGTTGAAAACTTTTTGATCTGTTGTGGTCTTTCTGAGTTCTTTGCAACAGAAGAATTGCTGTATTAGTTTTCTATGGTCAAAAGATGAGTGAAAGCTAAGAGCTAGCATTTTCCAAGGCATGTCTTGAGGTTGAGAACCACTGCTCTAATGGTTAAAAAAAGAGTTAAGAGAAAGAAGATATAGAAAATGTCAGATTACAAAATGACTGAAAAATATTCTGCATGCTAAAATAGCATAGCTGTGTTCAGTGAGAGTTCAGTATACATATATATGTAAACAACTTTCTTTTTCTACAGCTTGCCAACAACTTTTGCCACTTTGGATATTGATGGTGTACGAAAAATAATCTTTGCACTCCCAGGTAAGATGTGATGTTTTATGAGGCTCAGAGACCTGATGCTTGCTCCCCTCAGCACATAGCATTTGAGATTTTTACATCAAGTTGTACTAAAAAAAGATGATAGAGTCCTTACCTCTTACCCTATAGTTCTTCTACCCAGAGCTTCTTTTGTCCTTATAAAAAACATTGTACAGATTCTCTCTCTCCCATTTTCTCCACCCTCCCAATAGACATTTCCTGTTTTAATTAAATCTGAAGTATCACTAATTGTGATAAGAAACTAAACAGTCACAGAACTGCAGTGTTAATTTTTATGCCCTGGCTCTGTGAACCAACAGAGGGCAGCACTGATTCAACTACTGTGTTGGCTCTTACTAAAAATCAATGAGAGTGAAGTGTTGTATTTGGAATCTGGCCACAAGCCTGCGTGTTCTCCACCAAGGAAGAATTTGCTTCGCTCTGCCTTCAGTGGCTTACATGCATTTCTGATCACACAGGGCTGCAGTTCTCACTGAGGGAGTGATTTATCAGAAACACACTTAGAGATTCTCTCTCCTGCTTTGGATGTGCTACAATATGTTTTGCCAAAGTTTGGCATAGTTGTCAAAATATGTTTTGCCAAAGTTGGGTAGACCATTCTTCTCTTGTATGGTTAATTCTAGGGTAGTCACAAAGGGCAACACAGCTGTCTGTGGGAAGTGCTATTGGTTAAAAGTAGGTGACACCTCTCCCTTTTGAGTCAATATTAAACTCCTGTAGCTGTTTCCTGGGCTGCTAAAACACATTGCTAGTATCATGTAAGGGGTGCTATGTCATTATTTATTACTATTAGTTATTATCTGTTTTACTATCACACCTAGTAACCTTAGTCATGGACCAAGATCCCATTTTGCTTAGAGCTATAACACACAAAGCAAAAAGACTCTTCTTGCCCCAGGGAATTTTCAGTCTAAATATAAAAAGGGAAAAAACAGAGGGACAAAGATGAGCATAGCACAACAAAACAGCAAAACTATCTTGGTTAGAGCAATGGGGCAAGAGTGATAGCACAGCAGTAGCCTAACTGTTGTCAAGCTTTCTGTAAGCATTGCGGCATCCTGGCAAATAGAGTGAGGAGCTATACTTCATTGAATAAATCCAGGTTTTGAGAGGTGTGATTATTAAGGATCTTGTAAAACTGTTAACCCGTGTCAAAGCCAAATTATAATCCAGTAAATTACATTCTGTAGTTCTAAATTTACCCTTCAATTTCAAGTGGATATGGTATTCTACTTTACTTCTTATTCTGGTGGGTAAGATCATAGAAAAGTAAGGCTGGAAGGTATCTCATGACCTCATGAGATCAGGTCCCTGCTCAAGGCAGGCATCCCTGAATAAGCCATTAGTCAAGTGTCTGTCTAACCCAGTGATTCTCAGCCAGGATGCCCCAGCCTGGAATGCTTTGAGATCCTTACAAGGGCACTGCAGGGTGTTGCACAGTGTTAATACTTAGGTATACAAACATGATTCACAAGATAAACCCAGAGACATTCTGACCTGTTGTGACCTTTCTGAGTTCCTTGCAACATAATTGCCCTACTATTTTTCTGTAGTCAAAAAACAAGTTAAAACTAAGAGATGGTGTATTCTGAGGGGTGCCTTGAGCCTAGACGCTTGAGAACCTCTCGTCTAAGTCATTCTTGAAAATGTCAGGGATGGACATTCCAAACCTCTCTAGATAGCCTGCTCCAATGCTCAGCCACCCTCAGTATTGAGAAAGTTCTTTCTGACCTCCAGTCTAAATGTCCTGTGCTGCATTTTGAGGCCATTGCTGCTAGTCCTGTTCCCTACAGCCACAGAGAATAGTCTGAATTGTCTAACAATAGTATTACAGAATAGTATTAGAAACTATTCTAATAGCAGTATAGCTGTGTACTAAACAACTGTCACATGCCACTTGGGTGATGTATTTCTTATATACAGAACATAAAAAAGCTCTGAAGAATCCTAGGGGGTGCAGGTTTCTATAGAAATGTGAGCTCATTATCAGCATTTCACAGATGAATTCCAAATTACTCCCATGTAAACTACTTTTGTGTTTTGCTCTACAGGGAACCCTGTGTCAGCTGTTGTCACCTGCAATCTCTTTGTTGTCCCAGCACTGAGAAAAATGCAGGGCATCCTGGATCCTCGGCCAACCATTATCAAAGCCAGGGTAAGGGCCTTCAAACTGGATGAGCTCCTCTAATGATGTTGAAACCCTGCTCTCTGTGATGCCCAGTGGTAACCAAGAGTGCTCTCTCTGGTTTGGAGTAGTTCAACACCAGAGAAATGGTAAATGAAAGCAAGTTTTCACAGAAGAAAAGAATCTGTTAAGGCAACCAGAACCCCAGCCCTAAGAAAAAATAGTTGCAGTCACATGACTCAGAATCATGAATTCTGTCCAGCCCAGGAAATTTTACCCAAGTTACACACCAAGGTGGTTTCTTCCTGGGACAGCTGTTCTTATGCACAAAGTAGCATCAAGGTTATTCCTGCTACGCTTTTGCCTCAAGGTTCCCTGTCTTACAGCAACCATTCAGGTGGCCATGACCTAAGTCTGGGGTGGCCAACCTGCAGCACAGCCTCTTCATGTGGCACACAGCAGATTGGGGAAGAGACAGGAAGCACAGGGGCAGATAGAGCAGGAAGCAGAAAGCAGATCATTAGATCAGGCCGGGAGCACAGGGAAGGGAACAGAAAACAGAGCAGCAGATCGGGCAGGGGAAGGGGATCAAAGTGGCACATGGGGAGGGTGTGAAGTTAATCTGTTGTATACCTGCCTGAAAGGCTGGTCCTTACTGACCTAAGTAACTGAAAAAGAGGGATTTGCAAGGAGTGATTAAAAGAGCTAAAATACCTGTAACTCAAAACTTGATTTCTCCACTGTCCTTCCAGAGGTCCATGGCCATAAAGCCTCTCTTCCACGACCCTGTCAGGCCAGAGAAGTGAAGGGTGGATATAGCAATCAGGGAAACCTTAGGCTCCATCACAGTAGGGCAGAGAATCCCATGCGGCCTATCACACCAGTTTGTTTGCAGATATGAACATTTAACTTTGTTCCAAACGTAGTTAATTATTTTTAGCTCCCGAAATCACCACTTACACATGGTTACATTTCCACTGCATATTTCCCAGACCTTCTCACCATGCCAATCATATAAGTCTTGCTACTGCCAAAGGAAGGGGAAGCTTACTGAGGAAGGAAGACAACTTTTAATACTCAACCCATTTCATAAGCAGCTGAAAGAAGTTTCCCACAAGCTCACTTGTCTGTCTACCTTCTGGGATTTAGAGGAGCTAAACTCTCAACTGCTGGAACTTTCTGTCGCTGCTGTGCAATGGCAGAACAGCAGCATTTCTATGAAGTGCTGCAATTTCGCTGGCTGTACATTCACAGAAGATGAATGGGGTCCATTAGGCAGAATTGAAGCAAGTGAAGGAATATTGCACAGATGTCTAATCTCAGAAGGATCAGAAGAGCAATCCTTGCTGTTCATCAGTAAATATTGGTGTTCTGGGCTGACACTTAAGATTTGCAGTTGACACCTAAAGTATTGAAATGTTTAGAGGTCAGTAACACCAAGCAATGTTCTTCTGAATAGTACCGAAGTTATGTTGCAAAACCAAAACCTGAACCTGTCAGGCTATTTTGGATTCTTTTGTGTTTTGCCAAAAAGTGAGTGTATGCAGCATTTAGGAAGACCAGAGATTTGTACATTTATAAATATAAGAGTGGCAGTGCCTGTCAGGGCAGGGCAGATAGCTCCAACAAGAGAGCCCACTGGAGAGTATGGCACTTAGACTGAAATGATGAAAAGGTAAAGGAAGAAATAAGAAAAGGGGATTTCTATTCAATTGTATTTATCTTCTAAGTTCATTCGGTAGGTTTCTATAGAGATGTAGGCAATGCAGTGTCAACTCAACCTGTTTAATGTGCCAAAAATTTCTTTTTTCCATCAGAAAGTGGAAAAAATAGTCTTTGAAATAATGTCTATAGATGGCTGTTGCATCCAGGGTCCTCTGTTCTTAATGGCACCTGTTTCAAATTATCCCCATTAAGAAAAATGAGTTGATTTATAAACTGCTGCAAGCAGAACCTGGGATCTGAAAAACAAACGGTCCTTTTCTGCCTTTTACCTGGCCATGCCACTCCATCCCATGGTCCTGTCAGCCCCACAGGTTAAGAAAGTTTGAAATGAATGGGGGGAGGAAGGGGCTGCTGGTTATGCAGCAGATGTCACACTCCCTTAGGAGTCAGTACACTACCAGTACTATCTTATAGCACCTTGGGAACTGTGCTGTTGAAACACTCTTTCAGATAAGATGGAAATCCGCAGTTTTGACTACTTGACTTCCCCATGGATTTTTTTTTTAAGTCACAGATTATATCAGTCCAAGGTTTTTGAATAAGTTGCAACCAAGGTGATCACTTTTTCCTGATCTTAATTCTCCCTAGATAAGTTTCTCAGCACTCTCACTCATGAACAGCTGTGTTGTGCTGCTCCACAGGTGGTAACAGCCTGGTGGATTCCACCCCAGAACGGTCTTAAACTGACTCATTGTGTTCAGTAGGTATGTCACGTGAGTGGTTAGGTATTTGAGATGAAATATTTTAGCTGTATGAATGCGAGTTTACCCAATCTTCACTGGTAATAAACATCCTGCAGTCAAAACTGAGCAGACTCTCCTGTTGCTGGTGACCAAAGCAGAATAAACACCAGCTCCCCCTCCCATAGCTGTGTTAGCTGTGCAGGACAGGAGCAGTAAACTATCTGTGTCATTAAAGTCTGCAGATCTGACTGAGGGGCACAGGAGGCAGATAAGTGTAATTAGAAGGCATGATTTTTACAAAATTATTTTCTGACTACAACCATATTAACATGTATATTAATGCTAAGAATATTCCTTGCTCATGTGGAGCTGATTGGACTCAGGACCCCAAGCCCCATTAAAGCAGTTAGATTGGGTGTTTTAAATTAAGTGGGGTGAGATTAATAATGGAGCTGTCATGTACTAAAGTGAAATACAGCATGAAAAATTACACAGCTATACCTTACTCTCGGTGCTGTGTTAATCAGAAATCCAAGGGCATGTCAAAGGGAGTTATTACAAAATAGCTGTTCCTGATTAGTGCTGCACTGGAAAGATGTTCTTACTTTGGAATAAGAGAGACTTATTTTGAAGTCTACTGTGGAATTGGATTCAGCTGAAACTAGAAGTGCCCAGACACATCAGTCTCATATCAGACTGGCACCAATATAAGGAAAATTGACAGTATCAGCAATTGGCTTTTTTTGGCTGTTGTGGCCAATGTTGTGGTCGATAAATGCCCTGTGCATGCATGCAGACACGTTGTGGCTGATAAATGCCCCATGCATGCAGTGCAGCACACAGGTGGCCAGGAGGGCAGCCTGGCAGTGTGGAGAGCAGCTGGATCCAGCTGGTAAGTCTGTTGTGAGGGAAGGGGTCAGGGGGTGTGGGGGGCAGATTGAGGCCCCAGCGGTGAGAGAGGGAGTGGGGCAGAAGCAGGCACTGCACAACCGGGGTGCACAAGCAGCTCATTGGGAGGTGTGGGTGGGGGCAGCTCCCGCCATTGCACATAGTCTGGGAGGGCGTGGGGGGCATGTGCCCCTGGATCTGCATGCGGGGTGAGGGCAGGCTGCTGCTGAGGGCTGGGTGTGGCACTGGGCTCTTCCTGGTGGGGACTGGGCTGGGGCTGCACTCAGGGTGGGCAGCTGTGGCACTGGGAAGGGGGGAGGGGGCATTGAGGAGGCTTCAGTCCCCCCCATAGCCCCCTTCCACCACTGCCACCTCCTGCCCCAAGTGCAGCCCAACCCAGCCCCACCACTGGGAAGAGCCTGGCACCACCCTGACTCCAGCCTGCAGCAGCAGCCCACCCTCACCTCACACGCAGATCCAGGGGCACACGCCCCTCATGCCCTCCCAGGGTATATGCAGCAGTGGGAACCACCCCCAGACAATCGGCTTATGGCTCCATCCTGAGTTTTGCCCCGGCTGTGCAGCACCTTCCTCTGCCCCTGCCTGTGCCCCTGCCCCAGCCCCACTCCCTCCCTCACCGCTGCGGCCTCAATCTGCCCACCCACACACACACACACCCTTTCCCTCCCCCCCTTGCCCCTTCCTCCACAACAGACTTACCAGCTGGACGCTGCTCTCCAAGCTGCCCAGCCACATATCAGAAAGTGGATCGGTATCAGCCGATACGTCTCATTAAAATTGGCCATCGGTATTGGTCAAAAAAATCTCTGTCGGTGCACCCCTAGCTGTAACCCTTTGGCCAGGCACTGGTTGGCAGTAACAAAGACCAGGTTCAAATTTTAGGGTACCAAATCATTTTTTACTGTGGCTCAAGACCCCACCCAGAAATTTCAGCTCACTGAATTTGGCTGGGGTGTCCAACATAAACAACATCCTCTCCTCACAAACAGTGTAAACATAAAAGAACAGATTTATTACAGAAAACTCAGGCAAAGAAAACAAAGGAAACACAAAATGCAGTTTGAAACACTATCAACTACAAGGTATAGTCTCTAGTTTGCACCCGTTTTGGGGAGACCACCCACAGAATCATAGAAAACTATCTGAAACCTGCAAACATTTGCAATTAAATTTTTATTGCAAAAGTATTTGTTTGAATACAGGAGTTTTAGTTATTCTTTGACCAAATACTTTAACGGAATCAAAACTTCTCACCCTCGAAAAGGCTACATAAAGCTGTCCATGTGTAACACAGATTTAGGAATAGAAATGCATATTTTGTCAGAAGTCTGACCTTGTGAGTTATTCATAATCATAGAATAAGAGGGCCCTTGGACACGTGACTAAGGGCCCTTGTACACGTGAAGAAATTGACCCTTTTAGTGGTTTAATTGTCCTTTTTAATTATTTAATTGCGTAACAGTGTCACGTTTGGCAGCATGTTACATTTTGTAACAGTGTACACATTTGGCAGCATATTTCGATTTAAATGACTTTTTTACATAGTAAACTAAAATACGTCCCATACATTTTAGTTTGCTATGTAACAAATTACAGCAATACTCTTCACATGTACAAAGGTCCTATCTGGAAAAGACAACAGGGGTGGGGTACAGGGTGCTGGAAGCCAAGGTATGCTCGGGGAAGCTCAGGCTTAGTGGGCTTCTAGTGCCC